GACACTGACAACAGACAAGACAGAGCTCATATTTTTGGTATAAAAAAGTCTCAGCTTTCAAATTTTGTCATTTTTTAAAAAGAAATTCAAACCATAAATACCATTTTGTGGCTCTTTCATGTGTCGTGACGGATCACTGTAGCACCTCAGTTCAAACGGCACGTGAACCCGACTGTCTCTTCATATTTACTATTATTTATAGCACAAAATAAACATGAATGAACATCAGAAGGTTTGTTGTTTCAACCATGGAAAGACGTCGATACACAGTACACAGATGTTGACCTACTCTCTTGCCAGACAAAATGACGGATTCAGCTTATGATGGATCAGATCGCCTGTCAATCAAACTCCTGGCGAAGGGTTAATTAAATGTGAAATTTTAAAGTGAATGGTATTTCAGTATATATGTACTCAAACAACCTTTAAAAAAAATCATTTTTACAGTGTAATAATACCATATTTTACAGAATGCCATGGTATTACCATGGTATATGTCCAAAAAACAGCACTATGAACAAACACCACAATATACCATGGTAATTTTGTGAACGTTAAACTTTGAATAACAGCAGATAAAATCCACAGTAAGGATTGAAGTAATACCACAATATTTTCATATATACCATGGTATTTACATGGTGCGTCTAAGAAGAACATTGTAGTACCATGGTACAGGTAGAAAAAAACATGGTAATACCGTGGTAATGTTTGGGACTATGTTTGGTAAGCATCTTAATTAATTAAACATCCACCTGTTAATAATTCAACTTAAAAACTTAAGTTCAGTTGCTGCCTTAAATTTTTAAGAATAATCTGAATTTGTTCCCACTCATTTCCATTTTTAGTTCATGTAAATGATACTAAATTGACCAAATTTTTTTAGTTAAATCTCAAATAACTTACAAATATGAAACTAAAATGGTTAAAGTAATGGGGGAAAAACATGATCATATAATTTTTTCACAATCAAGGATTTTTGAAGCACAATGATATTTGAATATGGTAATCATTCCGTACCATGGTATTACCGTGACTCTACCGCGGTAGGCTACATGACGAAAATAAGGTCTGTTAGTCATAATTGCGAATACAAAGACAAATAACAATTATCAAGGTCATTTGGATTTGATACTTCATTAAGCACAATTTCGGGATAGTTGATCACGAGCCGTCGCTCTGCATGGAGTCGCCATGGCAACTGTATTAAGACAGATAGGAAGTGAATGTGAACACGCTAATTAAATGAAATAAACGGTAAAACTGTTTGCACTACAAACCAGTGTGTTCATAATTAACCCATTTAACCGTAAAGTGTTTTAATTTATAAATCTCTAAAAATGTTACTGGCTGGTGCTTTGGTGCCGTGACTCTACCGCGGTAGGCTACATGACGAAAATAAGGTCTGTTAGTCATAATTGCGAATACAAAGACAAATAACAATTATCAAGGTCATTTGGATTTGATACTTCATTAAGCACAATTTCGGGATAGTTGATCACGAGCCGTCGCTCTGCATGGAGTCGCCATGGCAACTGTATTAAGACAGATAGGAAGTGAATGTGAACACGCTAATTAAATGAAATAAACGGTAAAACTGTTTGCACTACAAACCAGTGTGTTCATAATTAACCCATTTAATCCCACCGCTCACAATAGTAACCGTAAAGTGTTTTCATTTATAAAGCTCTAAAAATGTTACTGGCTGGTGCTTTGGTGCATTTCCTGCAAACATGGAACAAATAAAGGGTCTCAATGAAATATGTGCAGTGTCACAATGATTGTCACATGACCAGAGCAGAGTACTTCCTGTTTGCACCTTGAGAAGATGATGGCTGCATCAAAGCTCCAAACCAAAAGGCTAGTAAAGTATGTTAACAAAGATATAACAAAGATTTTTGATACATGCTATCTTTAAGGTGTCTAGCATTAATATATGAATCCACAATTATTACGTTTTCTTGAGTGTTGTCATAGAATGAGTAAACATGTTGATGGCAACAATAGTGACCGCTGGGATAATACAGTGCATGTAGATATACATATAAATTCAATTGCAGCTATTAGTGAAGGTTGCACTAAAATGTTGCAATGACAAAGTTACAGTGAATATTGCATTAAGTTCAAATGTTACAAATTAAGTTACAATATTGATGTTGTAATACTGGTAGCACTAATATAACAGCTTTATGACATATGTTACAATACAGTTTTGAAATATGTTGATGGTTGTATTTTTTTGTCTTTTATCTCAGTATTCTTATCTGTGTTGTATAAGGGTTTTTATGCATAATAATAGTAACTCTAGAATCATGTGATGAAACAGAGTTTAAAATAGCTGGGCTGAGATACGAAACATTTTTATGACTGCAGAAATATGTTAATTTAGTATACACATTATCCCATGGTCACAATTGTGACAGACCATAAAACACTTTTTCTCACACTTTTCCAAACAATTATAATTATTGATTATTGCAAAATGCTACTAGTGACACATCATTTGGATATTTTCATGTCTGGGAAAAATTTGGGATGAAATGAGTTAAGATAATACATTAAAATGATATGGTAAGACACCAATTTTCAATATCATGCAGCAAAACAAGCTGATCTGTACAGCTAAGAATAGCTGGACGCAGATGAGACCGGAAGCTAGACCCATAGAATTTACAAATCTCTCGCTCTTACAGGAAGAAAAAGGTGGACACGTGCGGCTCTCGGCCATCAGACGGCGCTGCGGCTCAATGATCACATCTGAAATCACTGGAAAAAAAATCTAAATAGGGCAGAAGTCTTGAGTTCACTTGAAAGAAAAGGCAAAGTAGACTAATAAAACAGACAAGAGAGAGAGAGAGAGTGTCTTACATAACACATCACGGTGTAGGAGGAGAACTTCGTCTTCACTGTGAAGAAAGAAAAGGCCAGACGTCCACCTGTGCACTAAAAAGTGAACTAAAAATAGTACACACTCACACTCTCTCACACACTGACACTCTCACACACACACACACACACACACACGCACTCACATTGTCCTACACCAACCCTACCCCTAAACCTACCCCTCACAGGAAACTTTCTGCATTTTTAGATTTTCAAAAAACTTAATTCTGTGTGATTTATTAGCTTGTTTACCCGTGGGGACCTCAATTTAGGTCCCCACCGTGACATGAGTCCCCATGAGTCTGTGTGTATTCAGGTTTAAGTCCCCACCAGAATAGAAAAACAGGTACACACACACACACACACTGACACTCTCTCACACACACACACACTCTCTCTCTCTCTCTCTCTCTCTCTCTCTCTCACACAGACACAAGTACTGCAGCAGTTCATTCTCTATTGGATTCATTTAGAAGGTCTGATGAAAAACTCCCATTTCACTGCCAAATCAGACATTTCCAAGTAAAATACTGAATAAGGAATTAAAAAGAATGACTAACTGCTATTTGTGTAGGCTACTGGTGGTTAACATTAAACTGAAGTCAGGCGGAGAGGAAGGTCGTTTCAAAGGTGCTGCAAGTTATTACATTTTGATGAAAGATATCGAAGACAAACACTTAAGTGTCTTCAGAACCTCATCAGTGAATTATTCGCTCACGGGAACGTGTATTAAGACAGTAAACAGAGTCAGTTTAGATTTGATGTTGACTTGTGCACTGATTTGTTTATCGTGATTCTTTAGCGCGTTCACCGTCTTGACAAAGACAAACCCAAACGAGCTGTTTTATATTCACAGACCGTCGGTGAAAAGCTGCGGCTGACGGCGCATTAAACTTTATCAGTAAGTTGTGCAGCACCTGAATAATTGATTTCTTTGTGTTGTGACAGTGACAAAGGTCTGAGACTTGCCGCGTGGATCAGTAATTAACAAAAGCACTTAATTAAAGCAAGCAAGAAAAAAAACACCGTGACCACGAGTGTGTTCATGATAAAATCCCTGCCAACACACACACACGCACACGGTTACTTCACTAGATTAGTCAAGACATCTCAGAGACTTCCACTGTCTTTACATCAGCTTTTGATTTATCACCAAATCTAACACTTTACAATAAGGCATTAGCCAACGTGAACTAACATTAAGATTATTATTTATAAAAGGATTGTTAAAATTACTTCATTATATATAAATTAGTATTTTAGTATAAAAGTAAATTAGTAAATGGTAGCTTGTTTAGCCAATTTAACTTCATTGTAAAGTGTTACCAGTCATTTTAATGATTAAAATAGAGAAGAAAAAAAACTACTTGGAAAAAAAGCAAATATAAAAAGTATATGAAAAACATAACTAAAAATAATTATTTGTAAGGGGTAATACACACATAGGCTATTAGATTATTAATACATTTTCAATCTATCCATCTATCTCTCAAATAATAAAAATATATATGAATAATTATAGTAATAGTATAGTAAAAATTTAAACAAATTAACGAATGCATTAATGCATTGAGAGAGACGGCCTAAAAGTGAGAGAATCTGGAGAGGGTGACATCTCCGGAGTGAGACGTGTTTCCTAGACAGAGTAAGACACGTCCTGCTGGAGACAGAGAGAGAGAGACAGACAGGCTTCAACAAACCTGTTTACCACTCTACAAGCGCACAGCAGCCGAGAATCCATTTACTTTTGCCACAACAACACAAATTCAAAGGGGCACAAAAGCAAACGTGTGTGTCAGCAGAACGACTGAAGCGTCTGTAATATTTGTTCTTTGGGCATCTAATGCGACGGGAATGTCATTGAGCTGAAGCAGGGAAATTCATCAGCTCTATGAACTATACAAACCACTCGTTTCTAATTAACAGTCTGAAAAATAAATGTACACGTTATCACGATCATCATAATCATACACTCGCTCACTCACTGTAGTCTGAACTCTAAAGTCCGTGTTTAGTGGTGTTAGACAGGCGTTCCCATTGGTCCTTATGGGAGGCTTGAGTGACAGGTCCATCAGCCAATGGCTGACTCCGATCAACTAGAGGGGAAATTAAGCACCTCCCCCAAATAAAATAAAAAGGTCATGGAGGAAAACAAAACAAAAGGAAACCTAGAGGAGCTGCAGCAGCCAGCGGGCAGAGACAGAGAGGTGTGTGTGTTTGCTGGATCCAGTGGTTGTGGTCAGAACCTCTCCGCTGCCGGCAGCGTCCGACTCACTTCAGTAGATCTCTGATGGCCTCGCTCTCGGCCGCCTCGAACGCGCTGAGACCATCCGGACCTTTCCGATCCTTATCAGCACCCTGGAGGAACACACACACACACAGATTAAACGCACAAGTCCTACAGCAGAAACATAAACAAACACACATTTGCATTCATCCTTATAAACCCACAGGTTCACATACGGTGTGTGTGTGTGTGTGTGTGTGTGTGTGTGTGTGTGTCCAAGCGCGGAGATGAAATTGAGACACACTTACACAACACTGCGGTGATTCAAGACCAAACTACTCAATTACACACAATACACACAACAACCACATTATTACACAACACTGTAGTATACAGCAAAAAATTTTTAATCTTATAAAAAATCTTTAAAAAATAAATGCTACAAAATAATTTTTCTGTGATTTGTCTGATAACAATTGTGATTGCGACACACAAAAAAAATCCCCAGGTTTGCTGCGATTTTGTGTTGGGCTGCACAATGTAGCCGAAAATTTTTGATTATATATTAATATGACTATTATTAATATTATTATTTCTATTACTACTACTAAATAAATACATAAACAAAATAAATTATAACTGTAAAGCAGATGAGTATTTAATAATAACAATAATAATAATACATTTATTTTACAGTAGAATTCTAAAATTTCAATACTAATAATTAAATCTCATTCTCTCATCATCAAATGTAATATTTCTATGATTTTGGAAAAACAACAATTGCAATGACAAAAAATTCCCCAGGGTTGATTGCCTTTGTTTGTAGAGCTGCACAATTTATATATATTTGACTACTAATTATTACTATTATTACTACTGGTACTACATCTACTAAAAAAGTAAAAGTACCATAAAACAGTAACAATTTAGTATTTAATCATCATCATTAAATCATTTAATCAAAGCTCATTAACAGGTCGAAATCTTAAAAGATACAGCGGTTTCATTTTAGGGATGATCATAAAAAACTAAATTAATGATTAAATTATGACTTGGCAAATGTTTTAAGTGTACTCCAGGGGAAAATAAAATGCAAGAAATGTGTAGAATATACGCTCTTAAAGAATAAAATGAATGACATGATTCTGCTGGTGGTAGTTATGGAAGTTTTACTTCCTATTCAGAGCATCTGACAACTAAAAAAAGAGGAAGTGCTTTTCTATCACTCCTTCTGTCTGTCAGTCATGTGACTCTTCCTCTCATCTGCCATATTTATGAGCATCAGAGTGGGAAAGTGAAGGCGGCGAATACAATAACACATCAACAGATGGCCAGGAAAAAACACTGCTCATTGGATTTGATCCATACCATCTCCAGATTTGTTTCTTTGTTTTTTAATGCCATTCCAGCTTCAATGGCTATATTCATGCTGAAAATCATTGTTAAAATGCAAATTATAAACTAAATTAATTAAAACTAAAAATTCTAAAACTTTTGCCTTTTCAAGGGTATCAAGAGATTTTTTATTTTTTTTCATTTTAATATTTTTTTATTCATTTTATTGATTGGTTTCAGCTAATTTGATTGGAGTTATTTTAGTACATTGCCTCTGCAATGAGCTGAAATTAAATTAGTTTTATTAAAAAATTTTTTTTTCATTTATATGAATTCAATTTAAATCCAATTGCATTTAGTTTATAATAACATATGTGACCCTGGAGCACAAAAGCAGTCTTAAGTCGCTGGGGTATATTTGTAGCAATAGCCAAAAATACATTGTATGGGTCAAAATTATTGATTTTTCTTTAATGCCAAAAATCATTAGGATATTAAGTAAAGATCATGTTCCATGAAGATATTTTGTAAATTTCCTACCGTAAATATATCAAAACTTAATTTTTGATTAGTAATATGCATTGCTAAGAACTTCATTTGGACAACTTTAAAGATGATTTTCTCAATATTTAGATTATTTTTGCACCCTCAGATTCCAGATTTAATAATAGTTGTATCTCGGCTAAATATTGTTCTATCCTAACAAACCATATACATCAATGGAAAGCGTATTTATTCAGCTTTCAGATGATGTATACATCTCAATTTTGAAAAATTGACCCTTATGACTGGTTTTGTGCTCCAGGGTCACATATGGTTTTAGCTAACACGCTGGTACAAATAAAACCACTAGACAGGAGTTCTTCAGGTGAAGTGTTCATGTGTTATTTGATTATTGAGGAGCCAGTTTTTCAGATTCACAGACTGATCTCGGGTGTGAATTGCATCATGCTGTGAACTGAACACCCACAATCCTGTGAGAGAACAATTCAACAGAAGCAACCTATAAAAGCTGCATTTTTATGTCCACAGTCAAACACATTAATGTCATTAAAACTGGAAAATATGGCAGATAACAATCGCGGATAATTTTAAAAATCAATAATATGAAACTTTCTACTTAATGTAAAACAATAAAGACTTAACCATTAGAATATTTTCTAATTATTAAAAGAAATATACATAAAAATAGCTAAGCTTAATCACTACTGATACTTTATTATTTTTCATTTTATTATGATGTTTTTTTTGTCACATGAAATTTCTAAATAATGTACAAGTAATGGAGAAAAAAGGATAGAAATAAATTAAAACCAATGTAATAATAATACTACTACTACATAGATAATAATAATAGTAATAAAACTATTTTTAAGGGAAAAAAATTAATTGAAAGGATTTGATTTTCATTTGATTAAAGGATCAATTAAATTAATTAATAATAGGGCACTATTACTAAAAAAGTTTTAACTAAAATTCAATTAAACAATTAAAACCAGAAAAAAATAATCAAACCATTAAATCTAGAAATAATTAAAACAGAAAACACAGAATTTGGTAAAAATTTAACAGAATTTGAGAAACATATAAAAAACAAAAATCTTTCATAGGGCCCTAAAAATTTATTTTTTTGTAATGGTGAACATTTACTAAATTGTCGTTAAACTGCAGAAGTTTCATGACTGCAACTAATTACTTTTTGATTACTAACACCATTACAACATCCAGAAAGACCAGAAAGCTTAAAATGGGGGGACAAAATGAAATGTGGAAAAAAAAAATGTTGGGAAGAAAAAAAAAGGAACATATTTCAACCTATTACTGGCTGTATCTTAAAGAAGGGATTAAACCCTTCAGTATGTTCCTGTGTGAGTGCAGGACGACACCAGAAAGTGATCCGATGGGGATTTGAGTGGAGAATAAGCTGAAATATTCCTGCACAAATGCCTGATCAGCTCCTGCGGGACGTCCTGAGCACGTCAGAGGGGATCTGAGTGAAGAATGTGCAGCGCTGTGCTGCGTTATATAACCCCGTCTGACCCTGCGGACGCTCAGACGCTTTCAGCTTTAAAACCCACAAACAAAAAGCTCTTTCTCTGAACGCACAGCAGCACTGCACGTTGACACAATATACACAACACAAACACAGCCAGCAGAGATTCGGAGCGCTTCCTAAACAAGTCAACATGAGGTGCTGCTTATTAGGCACCATATGAAGTCCAGATGAGCTTTTTACGCATGTTGAGGAACATTAAACAACCTGCCACTTTAATATAGATTTCAACTGATGCATGTCATAGGCGTGTTTATACTGGCTATTTTTTATTTACAATTATTAAATAAAAAGTAAAATATAATCAATTGTTTTAAATATTATTAATTTAATTATAATTTTATATATATATATATATATA